AGGAACTAAATGCCCTCTTTTAATCTTTTTTAAAAAATCTTTTCAGACACCCAGTCTCATATCCACCTACAATATTCCTACAGCTCTCCCAGGGCAGAACTATGTGATACTTAACAATTGGAAAGTAGAGGTCACTTTATAGACAGCAGCCTTCCTGTAAGTCCATTCAGCTTTTTCACTGTTCTAAAACCACAGGCGTTTGCAACGTCTGTGAAATGTGAATGTGAAATCTTCCAGAAGTCTCTCTGGTATGGGTAACTTGAACTCAGCTTGAACAATATCCTAAGTCATTTACCATGGCTGTCTTTATCACAACTGATCTTAAGTATATGATTTTGGAAGTCCTCCTGAAAATTATTTGCCATTTTCCTAACAATTTCTTTAAAAGCTATTTTGCCTAAGGTTTCATTAAAGGCTACTAATGCAAGACACTGGGATCATTTTAAATTCACAGCCTTCCCATGAAAGAGAGACTCAATTAAACCACAGTTTGTATGTTAAATGGAATTTCTTGAATCCCCTAATCAATTATTTAAATTATAACCTTATGCCCTTCTTTGCTTCTATTTACTCCTATTTAATGTTTTTTTCTTACTTTATCGTTTCGTTCTGTTACTAAGTGTTGTGTGTGTGACATTTATCTCACATTTATTCACAAAGTGCTTAAAGTTCATTATTGACCATGCATAATCAATGTATGCTAATTCTCTTTGCTTCTGTTTCTGTCATTACTGCATTTTAAATTACACAAACAAGAGCTCAGCATCTACAAACTAAGGCTTTAGGAAAATACATCATCTTGGAAAAAAGTTAGGCCTTCTAAATGTATGCTCTTTCCTCAGGAAATAAAAAATGGAAACAAGCTGGAGCATTTGTTAAAGACAACATTATTCTTTCAGATTTGTAAAGACAACATTATTCTTTCAGATCTACATGGCTGATCTTAACTCCATTACCCTGCTCACCTTTTCTGCACAGATCTCTGAGCATGAAAGATATACAGAACACACTATCAAAGGTGAGATCTGCTTGGTAGGATCTGAAAAAAAATATTGCTTTAAACTGACTGTCCAAAGCTTCAAGATCCGAACATGAAATAAAGCTCCGTTTTAAGTAAGCTAAGAAAACAGTTCCTACTTACAGCTTACCAAAACCAAACACTGACACATTCTTCATCATTCTGAGCAAGTGGAAAATTCTTCAATATTCCTAAAGAGCATATAGGCCTTTTTCTTTTCCAATACTTAAGTTCTGCCACCCAAAGCTAAATTGACCAGCTGTGAAGTTTTTTGCTATCAGAACTAATTCTAAATAAAGGCCAAGAATAACCAACTGCTGCTTCAAATCATTACCTTGTATCTGTCTCACCAGATACAAATGGTAGAATCATCACAGACACTCATCACAGCATCTTAAAATCTCAAGTGTAAGATTCAGAAGTCCTGTAGTTGCTGCAACACCACCATTCAACATCTTCTGAAATTTCAGCGTGCCATTATCCCTTTTGCACCCATATGCAGCCATTATCCCTTTTGCACCCATATGCAGAAGAAAAATCTAAACATGTGACTCTCATGCATGATAGAGAGGGAGAGCAGCTGTAGGCAGAGAAGTCTGATCAGTCACGATGCTGTGACATCTCCCTACAGTGCTGAATGAGGAACTGAAGGGTCAGAATATGGACAGCGAAGCAAAGGCTTCCTATCACTACAAATTGTTATGTTTTCACTGAAGAGATCTAAGTTCAGAAATGCCCAGATGATGATGATGTATGTCACACATCACACTTACTGGCTAAGAATTCAGCCCAGATGATGATGATGTATGTCACACATCACACTTACTGGCTAAGAATTCAATTGTACGGCTCATATGGGACCAATAATACAAAGGAAGACCTTGAAAAGAGACATCTCCCCTCAGAAATGCCAGTGTCTACAGCTCCTGTTTCAATACGCATAAAATGCTGAAACCTTGGCAGTTTTTCGTGAGCTTCAATAGATCTTCTACATGTCTATTGCCTTAAAATAAGTCAAAAAGCAATTAGTCCTCTATTTAGACTTGGAATTTTAGGAGCCACTGCTTAAGTACTTGATACCAGCTTTTAACTGTGGTGGAAAAGTAGATAAATAAGAATTCATAGTACTCCCACAATGTGTTGATTTTAAGACCTTGGGCTTTGGTCTGTAAACTGAAAGTACTCCTTTTTCCTCCACTCATCTGCATTACCAGTACAAATCTATAAGTCTGATGAATGCTTACCCCAGAATTAATGGAATTCATGGAAAAGTAATTTGGAATCTTTATTAGTTATGCAAGGAAAGGGAAAACTTTTAGGTATTATTTTTTTTATTTTTTTTTCAAAATGTTATCGACAGAACTAATTTTAAAGTCTCTCTTCTGGGGAGTGGTTTCCACCGAAAAATGAAAATCCATGTCTCCAAGGACTGTAGAGATATTACACTTTGAAAAACTAACCTAGTGCCTTCCAAAAAAATGGAACGAGTGAAAAAGATCTCATCAGATCAGATGCTGTTACCTTGTGAATATACAAAAAAAGGCATAAAAATTGTAAATATAGAACTCAGTGTTACCAACATACTGGCCATGCTGTTTCTGCCAATCCCATACTAGAAGAACAGATGCGGCAGCATATAAGAAACAAAATATGTTCCACAAAATAAAATGTCATAATCATATGCAGGTCTCAAAATTTACTGCTTTTTCATGTCAGCTTCAGTTGTCAATGTCTTCTGACATTACCTTTGAGACAATTGTTTTAAACCAACAGAAAAAAAAGCACAGTTTTATGTTCTCGAAAGAATGTGTCACAATACTTAATTCTGATATTGGAGTTGGCTTGAATAAAGCATTTGAATTTAAAAGTATAAAGTGGAAGCAAAATAAAGAGTCAAAACTACCTCTCCATTACTAATTGTATTGTGTTTGTATATAATACAATCTAATTTATAAAGTCCCTTGTCACAGAAGCTTATCAAGGCACTTCACACCCTGAAAGGAATTATACATAAGCTCAGTAAAAAGCCATCTTTAAAAGAGTCTTTAATCTTATTTTGAAACATTTAACAAGGGAATGAAATAAATGGTTTTTAATGCACTCAGACCCAGAAGTCTTGTATATATTTGTCTTTTGAATACAGAATTCTCAATAAGGGTGAATGCAGTAGAGCAACTTCAGTATCACAGTATTTGTTCAAGGTCTCTGCTGAATATCATGAATTAGTCCTTCTTTCCTTTCTGTTGACCTTCTCTTCATTTATGGCTACATAAGGTCAAAGACTGACATCCCAGAGCAGACTAAAGCCCTTTTAGTTCTTCCTGGAGTAAATCCCATGTCTGTCATCATCGCTGTCTGCATCCTCCAAGCTCCATCAACCTTATTTCAGGAGGGTCAACCTAACGTGCAAAGTGGACTGTGGGCAATCCTATGTTCAAGATGCAATTAGTCATTAGTCCTTGCTAGGCTACTGAACAGTTTGCCAGTCATGCCACTTGTTTTTGTTGAGGCTTATTACCTGGGAATCAAACAGACCGCACAGGTAAAATCTTGGCTCAAGTGGAATCCATCTCTTTTGCCTGAGTGCTGCTGCTGCTCTGAGTGAGTCTCACTACTGATATTCTGCTTTTTATAATGCATGTTTATTTGGCAGTGCAATGTAAGATTCCCACACCATTTTGGAGGCAAGCACAGTCCAGCCACAGTGCTCCACCTGCACCAGCTGAGTCAACAATGCCCCACTGCACTTCCTGTGAGGAAAGGGGTTGATGCTCTGTTCCACACTGCCATGGCTAAAACCTGGGTATGTGAATGAGCCTGTCTGAGGTGATTTGCAGTAGCACTGCACCATACTGCAGTCTGCCAAGCTGATAAGCCCACAGTCTTGACTGCCATCCACCCACACATCTTTGCCTTCCTCCTGTTGGGGAGTAAATAGTAATATAGACTGTTGTGAAGTGTCCATCAAAATCACTTTAAAAAAACTGGTTCCATATGTTCCATTCTCTTTTTATGGCTAACTGAGACATTCTTTCTTGCAAGGACCTAAAAGTAAGAGTAGTGAAATTCTACGTTAAGACAAAAAGCTAAGTTATGCTAAAGAGATCTGAACTCATGCTTCTGAGAACCTAAAGAAACTGGGTACTGGAGCAATGTTCAGGTACATGTGCAAGCTCCTAATGCCCTTGCAGAAGATTTACATCCTCTGAGAAGTGCTAGATCACATAGGTAATTCTGTCTCTGGCCATGCAACACATTGCAGCACCAGTTCTTTCCTGATAGCTGGAAAAGCAGGGACATTACAGAGCACACAGCACTAGGGTGGAGGTGTTAGACTGGGCCCATACATCATCTGTAGTATAACTACCTCACCAGTGCAGTGCTGTGCACGGTCTGTGAGCCAGCATTGAAGCACCCTTCCCAGCTTTATAACAAAATTTTTAACATGGTAGTGACCCATGTGCCTTAGACAGCTAGAAGCTGGCATAAGACCAGTTTCTGTGTGTCTGTGCCTTTGTTACATGTCAGCTTTTCATGATAAATTTCAGGGATGCAGCAACTCTTGCAGGAATGAGCCTTCTGAATCCAGAGATGACGGACATTTCAAATTCTGTAACAGTTCTCAAACACTTTCCTCCTCTGCACACAGACAAAACTTCATCAAATTGGTTTTTCTCTCTTATGCAAATCCCATCCTGTCAGGACCAAACCCTTCTAATAGCACATGAAAAGAACTCATGAGCAACTGCCTCCTGACAGCACAGGGAGGAAATAAGTGAGTATCAGTTATCTGTAGTAGGCACTCACTATTTAGCATCTCTGTTCCCATCACAACGATCCCAGCGAGCCGCATTTTAAAATTTCTTGTATTTTAAATTTCTTTTCCTCTGTTACTATCTAACCTTTTCATCGGGTTCTTTTGCTTAGCTTTTTATTCTTTTCTCTGTTTGGTTTATATTTGCTGTATCTCTTTCATACTCACCCCTTTTTGTTTCCTCGCTTCAACTTATTCTGCATTTCCTTGCATTTTTTAGGTCTTTCTGTTGTCAATGTCTGTAGAGCTGCTGATGCTCAGCTTTTCCCTTAATTTGAGATGAACAGAGGAAAATTAATTACGTTCGATGTTGAACATATGCACACAATAAACACCCAACTTTTAAAAGATGTCATGGAAGCATCTGCTATGTTATATTTTTATGATGGGTATAAAACTGAAATAATTGGTATTTACTTTTTATTTTCATCTTCAGATGTCATTTCTGCCCACCCCCTCTATTTCCACTTAAAAACGTAGCACTACATTAAAGTTAAATTGACATTTAAAAAGTCAATTTTAAATCTTTTTTTTTTTTAACTCCTGAAATTAAAACATTCCCAAGGTAAAAATAATCTTAACTACTACAAAGTTTTATGCCCTCTCTTGAACTCTACACTCACTACTGACTACAGTTTAAAATCTATGATCATAAAGGTCTTTACTACCTGTTGGTGTGCATGTAAGTGGAAGGCTTTTGTGCCTGACTACTTAAACTGAATTGACATACCTAATAAAACAGGCATTGAAAACTCAGTAAAGGGTTTCTTGGCACCCCAAGAAGTGAGTGGGATCATAACATAATTAAAATACATAGAAGGCAACTCTGAGTCAGCAAGGCAGCTACACTACTTGGTCACCGTCACTTGATTACTCTTGAAAGCTGATAGAAATCAGAAACAGTGATTGCCCACCCCAGGCATGAGATATCTGGCTGCTCTAGGAACATAATCACTGTGTTGCAGGAGGTCTAATCAACAGCTACCTATAATCTCTGTGATAGCTGTAAAAAAGTGTTAATGAAATATTCATGCAGATAACTGTCATAGGCATAAAACATCATAACCAACTCCTTTTTAGTAATGAATACTTTATTGGACCACCCTGTTCCAACTTATTTTCCTACAAAAGCAATTTTGGTTCAGTTGCTGATTCTTCCTAGACACTGTGAGCAACAACCCAATGAAAGTATCACTGTTGAGTCAAACTCCTAAGGAAGTAAGGATCAGATGTTGGAGCCTGCTGAACCCTGGAGAAGATGGCACAATTTAGTGCCCTGAATACAATTCACATTTTAGAGATAGTTCCTTTTGTTTATAATATATTGGCAAAGTTTTCATTCTGGAAAGGCAAGAAATTAGATATATAGGTGGTTCATTCTCACTCCTACTTTAATGCCTCAGAAAAATATCAGAGAGGAAGGATTTTGCTTAGCAAGGGCATTAGGCTGACCTAACAACTACCTCTAAGTCTTAGGAAGTTTAATCTCTCTCTGCATCGCACTTCAGAACAATAAGAAATGCAATAATTCATTTCTGCTTTACTTACAGACTGAATTAACATTCATTAACATGAGGCACATTTGTATATATATTTTGCAAGGTACATCAAGTATTTGTGAAACATATACATAAATATAAATGTAAATGTAATGTAAATATAAATGTTTATAATTATAAACATAAATATAGTTATATATATATAATTTTTAGATATATACATAAATTTAAGCAACATGGTAGTGTCTAATTCTGAGACTTCAACTGGAATGACAGCAGACAAAAAGTATAAAAACCTCCAGATTTTTACTAAGGATCAAGAATCCAACCCAATCCAATCAATGGAAGATTCCTAAAAGAGGTAAGAAACTCAGAAAATTATGCTGCTATTTTGCCCACAATCAGTTTAACTAGGATCGAGATTATTTTGTATAGAACAATCAAGAGCTTTGCTTATATAGCATTGCATATGAACCTTTATGAAATTCTCCTTTGATTAGAACATTAAACTTATTATCTTTAAAGCCTGTAGTCCTCACTGCCTTGATAGAAAGTATTTAATTTTCAACTGCTTTTTGAATTTCATTCACCAATTCAGTTATATTAAAACTTTTGCTGTATTAAATGAGCAAATATGGAAAATATTTTTAAAAACAGGAGTATTCTGGATAATATGTCCAATGATTATATCAGGTACCGTTTCAAATATACCTCTTGACTCATGATTTAGCCACCCACAGTTCTACTGTCATTTCAATAGCTTTACCAGAATAGCAGGAGATTCATCTGTTACCCAAAAGAAAATCTAAGATTCCCTTAGAGCATCTTAAAATATAAAATACCAACTTAGCTGAGAAGAAGTAAAAGACAGATCCATAAAATAAATTCAAAGGCTCCAAGCAACCTTGCTCAAAACACCCTGCTCAGCTACTGCCTGCTCTAGAGACACTTACACCTGATAGATACTCACCATTAAAAGTTACCAGGCTACCTAGAGGCACCTAGAGCTGTGCCCAGGAGTGTTTCAAGTCACTGCATCCATAAATCACGAGCTCCCAGTCCAGGAGGTGGCTGGCAGCCAGGATGCAGTAGATCTCTGCTAGCCACGTCAGAGCTACTGCAAATGCACCAGAGAGGAGCTCCCCAGAGCTAGACTCGTTAAACATATGCAGAGACTAGGATGAACCTGAGATCACGAGCAGGACCTCGCTCTACATCAGGGTCACAGGCGGAGCAGAGTGGTTGCAGCGATGACACGGAGCTGCTGCAGACACTCATGCAGGGAGCCCAGGCACCCCGACACTCCCCTGACTCTGCCACGCTTCAGCAGTAGCTGTGCTGGGGAACTCAGAACAAGTCTCACACTCCATATTTCAGGATTCACAGATGAAGTAGCAATGAACTCCTCTTCTGCTCAGGAATCTGCTTGATGTGATGAGCCTGCTCTGAAAATATTTACCACAGTTTATCGAGTCAGCATCATATACAACATAGAAAACAGGCACAGGTGGCACTTCAGCTCTTCACCATAAGCTAGTGTTTTGTGCCGTAGTGAGGAATGGGTTGGTAAAATTCTTTTTTCCAAATCATCTGTCTTCCCTTCCTGGTGAATTCCTAAAAGCTAGATATATAGCTTTAGGTTTAGGTTTATTGATATACTTACTTCAATTGCTCCCCTTTCTCTTTCAGAGGACTCTGAAATATTAGTGTGCCAAAACATAACTCCATGAGGAGAAGCTGGTCTTATCCACATCCAAAACAGCTGCCAGAATAGAAGCTTGCTTCCCAAGGATTTGTGGGCTTGACTGTCCTCAGGCAAATAAGGAGTATCAATTTTCCATATTCTATTTGAGTAATGTAAATAGTTGGCACACCAGCTAATAAAAGAGCCTTCGCTGTTATAATTACCTCTTTGGGCACGTATGCCAACCAATTAAAAAAAAATTTATAAAGATGAAAAACGAGTTACAGACTAAATCCCAAGAGCTGTAATTCAGAAGATCCCTGCTGGCCTGCCAATAGTTTTAGCTTATATTCTGAAAGCCCCTGTTTGTCAGAAGATGTGGATTAACAGGCAAAGCTGCATCATCCAAGGACACTGAAAATGCCAGGTTTTTCTCTTGGTGTCCTGAAACAAACACAGATAAATTCAGATGCCTGTGCACTTACCTCTGTTCAAAAGCAGACATATCTCCTGCCTCTAGTCTTCAATCCTGACCTGTATTTATACCAGAAGCTAGTTTGGTCAATTTAAAAAAGGTCTTTGGCCAAATAGCTCTTTTTTAATATACTTAATCTTTTGAAAAAATAATCTGGAGTCAGAATACTCAATACTGTCCAGAAAAAAAATAATCTCAATATTAGTCCACTACCATTAGTACCATTAGTCTGGTAATATGATAATATGAATAAAATAATCACCATGTTTACACTTTCAACAAAGCACCATACGAGAGTCAACTAATTATTGTTAATTAAAAAATCATCTTCAACCTGCCTCTTCTCTGGATGTGTGAGAACCCATCATCTGATTTTATAATGATTAAATTATAGAAGTGTTTTTGAAGAATAAATGCAGTAACAGGGCATAAAATACTGAAAGCAATGTAAGAGCAGTTAATTATGTTGTGCAATATATTATGTGGTTGTAAAGCAGTCAGCACCAAGGGATAACGTGAATGGAGATTCAGTATTTTATTACCTTCAAAACCCTTCTGTTTACACTGTCAGCACAGTAGCCTGAAAAGACTCAGTTTGCAGAGGCAATTTTGTGTCATGATAATCATGGATTGTGGAAGTAACCTCTGTCCATAGCATGAACTGGGGATGCAGAACTATGCTGTTTGTGCAACATTGGCTCTAAAAATTATCTTTTTAGCACTTTTTAGAACTGAGTAATCATTTTTTCACAATTCTCTGGGCAGTCGAGGAGCTTAGGACATCTGACACACAGCTTGTGTGTACTGTCACAAGTCATTATGAGATGAATAATAGATTTTATGTATTTGAGATTAGATATGTGGCAAGTGTGGAAACGTTATTTTTCTGATATGTCTCGGTAGAATTAAACTAGTTGCCAGTCAAGTCTCAAATATCTTTTTTGCTTAAATCAAAATAACATATTTCAAATAAATACAAATATAAATATAAACATTGAAGCAGACAACAACAAAAGAAAAGCGGGGGGTTGTGTTTGCTTCATCTATTCTAAAATGCATTCTGGATGTTTTCATAAATGACTATTTTGGAAAAAATAAATAACCATGCAAGACACATAAATGAATATGGGATAATTTTTCAGCAGATCCAAAGAATATTTAATATAAGGATATTTTTTTGTAGATACTTTGGAGGTATTAAATTTGGGGGGGAGCAGGCAGGGTGGGAGCCCTCTGAGCTATTCAAGTACCTGTGAAGTGTTTTCATTCAAGATGAAAGGGTTCTGTGAGCATCCATTTGTCTTGTAAGAGGCATTAATGGAAGAGGTTCAAGAAAGGGAAAGATCTAGATATATCTATAGGCAACAGATTTCTCCCTGATTGCCTGCTTAGAAACAAAGCTCATAGCAAAAGGAAAGTGGGGAGCACCAAAAGAAATGCCAATATGTTTGCCAACATGCCAATGTTTGCTTACTGCCAACATGACATATGCTTTTTGTGATTTGTACTTATTTTCCTCCTTAAAAGCAGCCTCTCCTGATTCAAAACTACTAGACTAGGTTTCACTGAAAATTATTGTTGCAATATTCTTTTCCACTGTGCTCCTGGTCAGTATCAAATAAGATTTTACTTTATTTAAAAATGTTGAAATATATTTATAATATATTGGTGCTAGAGTAGTGTAGCAACACAATGTTGTTGCTTGTAAACCTTAACCCTCCCTTCCAAGCTGTTTCTAAAATTAGTTTATGCAGTCTCTAAAACAGCATGAGTCTTCTGCTTGCTCTGCCACAGTTTGCAGGATAGCTAAAAACAACACAGCAGGATGCTGCCGCCTTTGTGGAGTCATCACGACAAGCTTCAGGCGCCAAGAAAAAGATGATACAGCACCAGAGATTTAGGCTACATGAACATGCATAAATCTCTGCATTTATCTCCTCACACCTTTGGGACATTCCTTTATCAAAAGGGAGACATAACACACCCTCAGCATCCCGGAATGGGCTAGGTTTTATTCGAGAAGTTTATCAGGCTTGCAGTTAGGTTTGGATCTTGGTTTTGAAAGTATGTATGCTGGAAATGTACAAGAGGAGATAAGGCTTTCTGCTCTTTCTGTTTCTTACACAGACATCATCTGACACTTGGATAATATAAATAGATGTGACTGTGAGTAGGAAAGGAAGTAGCTCTGGTTTCATTGCTCTCAATTCACCTGTTTCTCTCTGATTTAATCAAATGCCTTTACCCTTTTCATGCTCTAAAAGTCAAAGAGTAAGCACAAAATTATGAATAGTCCAAGGAGGAAAGTGACAGAAAAATATTGACCATTTTACAAGTCTTAGGTTGAGCAGGCAAGCAGTAATCCCATGGGAATTCCCATCCCCAAAGTGATACCTCAGGCAGAGTAAATTGCTGGCTGACACCTGCTTTCTCAGAGCAGGTCAGTTTAACGACAGCTCTATATGGTCATTACCACATACCCTCTGGTTGTCATAAGGGCTTCCAAAGCACTACTTCCACAGGTCATTACTCCTTGTATTTTCTCTGCTAATAGCCTTGGCAAATCAGGTGAAATTAAATCAGTGACAGCAAAAAAATGGCAGAAAATTAATTGGTGAATTCACCTAAGGACATTACCAGGTTTCAGCTTATCCTGGAGGAGCATCCTTTGTTAGAAAAGAAAAAAAAGAAAAACAAGGAAAAAAAAAAAGAAACAAAAATAAGCATGTTTCTTGTTTCTGCTGGAATTGTCTTTGCTGTAACATTAGTGGACACCCTGGTAATGCACATTTCCTTCAGCTGAGACAAAAGAAGACCACGCATTAACCAGCAATTTGTCATGCACTGATATTTGCCAAAATTTTGACATCACTTCACCTGTTATCGTGGAGATGGCTTCTGACAAACAACATGTATGTGACCTGCATGTCTGTCTGGTTTCTGTCCTTAAACATTTTGATCATCTACTGAATGTTAGCATCCATAGAATTCAGTTGTTACCTTTTTCTCTCTTGCGGTTAATGAACTTTGTTACTTAAGGCGTACTTCAATTTTCTGTGCATGACACAGCAGTTCGGTATCATAAAAAATATCTGTCTCTCTGGAACCCCTCGGCAGAGTTGGATTTTAACGCTCTGCAACCATGGTTACACTCACTGTGCTCTCCAGAATTTCACATAATTGAGGAACTGGCTTAACAGTGTTGCAGCAAGAAAGGCTATTCAATTTCCCTTGATCCTTCTGTGTGGTAGTCCTTTCTTCTAGCTGTTTGTTCAAAACAGCTCGAACCATGAATCAGATTGAGAACATTTCTATGATTATGGAAGATATATTTTCTTTAATTATAATTAGAGGGAAATGAAAGTTCATTCCTAAGTGTGCATTTCTGTTTGGGGCTAATTTAAGTTTAATTTCTGTGATACTTTTGCATTATATCTGTAGTAGAAAAATATTTTTTCCTGTATTGCCTGGTTCATATAACATAAGAATGTACATATTGAACAGGAAATATCATAATAATTCATCAAGGAAAGCAGAAAAAGAAACCAAGAGGTTTCTTTTTGTCCACACTTAACCCCCAGTCAGAAATTGGTTGCAAACCTTCCATTTGCTTTTAAGGTTCGTAAAGCAGTAACAGGCCAGAGGGAGAAATGGAAAATTATAGGCACAGATGGTCTGGGGCTGAGAGAGGTAAAGGTAACTAAGGAAACTCTTTTCAGAAACTGAAACAATATCATTTATGTTCTGGCTTTGCTTGGCTCTGGGCAGTTAAGCACAGCTGACACTGAAAACTGCGGCTTGTTTTGGAATTGTGTGTGCTAAGAGCAGATTTACCTTTACAGTATTTTGTCCTTGCAATTATTAATTATAACTCATTATTTTCAGCTGCATTATCATCACAACTAAATTTTGAGCTTGAAGTGCTGAGTATCTTTTTCAGACATTTTTACTTTTTATTAACAAAGGATAATTGTGCATTGTCAT